GAGATCTACCCTGGTAATAAATAAATAACAGAGTACTAACATTAAGGTGATCCAGTTAAGTGGATAGGGGCACAATGCCGCTGAATCATTTTTGAAATCAACTTGCCAAATTTTAAGTAACATAAAAATTATTAACTTGAACATATAAACGTTAGTGTATTTAAAAAAGGTTTACCCGTCATTTTACAAAGAAAAATGATAGAAACACTTCCAGTCAATGGAAGTGTTTCATTATTTTTATTATAATTATCCAGTTTAAAAATAAGGGTACACATTTTTGAAATTCAATAATTTCTTTGCTCAAGTTAAAAATATGTGTGCTACTGCAAAAATGAACAAGTTAATTTCAAAATTATTTTTATGATTTTTTTTGTCATTTTCAAGAGACAATACATCTTTAAACCTTGTTTATTTTGATGCCCAGAAAAAATGTGAATTAATGATGATCATAATGAGGGGATGATGATAACAATGACGGTTATGATGAAGGTGATAATAATGATGACGATGATGATGTCGATGGTGATGACGTCGACAATGATGATGAACGGTAATGATGTACATGTAGGTGTTGGCATGCTTGAGAGTGATGGAGAAACTAATGCAGACTAAAGTGAAGTGAGTTCATTCTGGAATCAAACCGAAAAATGCCCCGGTCAGGCTGCAGCAGGAATAAAAGCCCTGGAAAAATCAGCAGTTTTGATTTGGTAGAGTCTAATTTTGGTCGCTATGCTATTTTTAGTCTTATAATAGGCCATCGTACCATGATTGAAAAAGTCAATGCGATGCGTACATTCATATAATTCATAATTATCATTATATATTTATTTCATGAAAGTAATGGAATTGAGAAAAAGTGGTCCGGCCATAGCTGGTGCGCTTCCGACGGCCCTGTGGTTCTCTGTCCTTGAAAGTGTGGCAAGTAATGGGCTAATCGGATTAGGTCATTAGGTACAGACCAATCAGAAGCAAATGCTCATTTTTTGAAGTATCAGTTGCTGTATGTTGGCTTCATACACAGTTTACATACTAAAGAATTTATCAGCACTATCAAATAAATGGTAAGAATTTTATATTTGTATACTATATTACAGGGTGTATCTAGGCTAGCCCAATATCGTAACTGTTTAGGCGAAAGATTCTTAATTATGCTAAGTGTGCAATATTAGGTCAGTTAGGTTATACCTCCATGGTTAAGACGACAGTAATGCATGATAGGTATATTTTGAAATCTATACATAGTAGCTGTTTTTATAATTATTACAAAAACTCTGATTTAAACATGCCTGTATAGCTACGATACATAATATTTAATGTTTTTTGCAAGTTTCAATTAAAGAAAAATGGTCAAGTATATTTTAAACTCAGTGTATTTTGTAAGTTTAAAGGAATAAACATTGACATTGACTCAACATTAAAAATTTACATTGAATCGGCGTTGAAATTTACGTTGATGAAAACTTTCATTCACAACAAAAATTCAAAGTTGATTCAACACTGATCATTTGATGCTATTATAACGTTAAATAATTGATGTTGAAACAACTTTAGACAATTTACGTTGAATCAACGTTGAAATTTACGTTGATGAAAACTTTCAAATTCAACCAAAACTCAACGCTAATTCAACATTGATCATTTGACATTGTTTTAACGTTAAACATTGACGTTGAAACAACTTTAGATATTTGACGTTGAATCAATGTTGAAATTTACATTGATGAAAACTTTCATATACAACCAAAATTCAACGTTGATTCAACATTGGTCATTTGACGTTGTTGCAACGTTAAAAAATTAGCGTTGAAAAAACCTTAGACATTTTATGTTGAATCAACGTTGAGATTTACGTTGATGCAAACTTTCATATACAACAAAAATTAAACGTAGATTCAATGTTTGCATATTACGTTGAATCAACGTTATTTCAACCAAGTTGTGCCCACTGGGAATACTTTGGGATATGATTAATGAGACATTAAACTGTTGATCTAAAGTGAAAAACAAATTTGGGTTTTTTAGCAATTTTTTGAGCTCCCATATTTTATATCTCATTTACTCAATACTGGACTGTGCGACAACTTAACCATTTTGCCACAACATGCCTCATTTTTTGTCATTTTCAAGGGACAATACATCTTTGAAAATAGGTTGTTCACATTTGGTAACCCTGTTTACTGTAGAAATGCTTATAAAGTATGTTTTCTGATATTTATCTGCTTTTTGGGGACCATTTCTGAAACAATCCATCAGGCTTAAAGGGTCATCCTCTACTTTCCATATTTAATTTCATGAATGGTGGTGTGTGTTTTTGATGTTCTTTGATCTTATTTTTGTTTTTGAACTTCTAAATCATTTTTTGTCATTTCCTTTGTAATTACTTCATGGAAAGCAATAAATATTACTTACTTACTTACATCTTATGCAATATCTTTCAAGATGCTTGCTTTAATATATAGAAAGTTAGAACCAGCAAAATAACTATTTATGACCTCTGATGACCCCACAGTGTGGGCAGTTTCTCAAGCCAGTCATGAACACCACACCCAATAATGCAATGAAATTTTAATCAAACTTAATTGGAATCATTTCCCAACAAAAAGTAAAACAAAGTTGACTTTCACCTTTACCACTAAGTACTGACTGCTTTCTGGCATAAGCACTGCTTACTGAGCTGTCTTTGGAGGTGGGACGGAAGCCTGCTCTGACATCACGGCTTGGAGGCTTGGGAGCCTGACTTTTCATCAGGTCCTCAAGCTCTTTCTCTAGGCTGTCCTTGTGCTGCCTGATCATATCCAGCTCGTTGGCAAGTGATCCTATGGTGGTTTTGAAATGATCCTGGACTTCTTGAAGCTGTCAGGAGAATGAATTGTATCATGGTCTCTAATATTTCAGTTAGCACTTTCTCTCAAAAAAAACCCCATTTTTTATTACATAGCTTTAACAAAGCTATGTAATCACACTTTTAACAAAGGGTGGCAGTTCATAGGACAGGGAAGGGTGAGGCATTCAACAGCGAAAAGTCACAGAATCATCATGATTTTCATTTAATGTCAGTCTATGCCATAGTGGTATCTAGGCTATGCTCTGACAGACTATCAAATTTTCTTTGACAAAAAACTGTTGTATTCCCATATATAGTCATGATGTGCTTAAATATGGTCATGATGTGATGTAATCATGACCATATTTAGGCATGTCACATGTTTGTCAAATAAAATTTGGTAGTCTGGGCAGGGCTATGAGCCTTTATTGGTATTGCACATCAATACTCACTTCCAGGTCAATTCGATCAAGTTCTCGGTGGTCTTCACTAAAGTGTGATTCTGCTTCTTTATCAGTGAAATGCTTTGAAGATAGTTCAACCTTGTGGGTCTCCAGGTAAGAATCAAACTCATCAATGATCTGATTTTGGACCATCAGAATCTGCTGTTCAAGCTTTTTCGCAGCCTCAAGACTACTCAGAAGTTGATTCTAAAAAGAGAGAGAAAAAAAAAAATCTGGATTATTTTTTGTCTTCGTTGGTAATTCGGTAACAAAATTCAACATCTGAAAGTATTACTGTATGTGAGTGTCAATCAAACTTAACAACTGACCAATCAGAACAGTAGGCACATGTTCGTTTTGTGGGACCTTAGCAACAGTATCCAAGGGGCGGGGCCTAGAGGAAAGGTTAATTATCCATTCACCAGCTTCATGCACTGATTAATCAAACAACTTAAATAGCAGAATTAATTTTTCTGCGTATTTGCATTAAAATTGATAAAACATCTGCCCTCCCGCGAGTGGGGTAAAAATTGACCATTTGACTAAGTGGAGAAACTGCAGGAAACAAGCGAAACTGTGCGGCACTTTTAAAATTGATATATAGCGCACCACACGAACGGGGTAAAATTGCTCTCCATTCTCCCATCCAATGCATTTGGACTGGACGTTCGTTCCAATATATAGCGAAGCTGCTCTATCTTCTGCTATTTATTATCTTTGGATGAATTCACTAACTTTATGTATGATGTATAAAAATGATGACTCAAACATAGCCAAAAACATTACCTTCTTAGTTGCAAGAACTGCTTTCTTCTTTTTTGAATGCAATCCAGGGAATTTGTTTTCATCTGGGGAGATAATAAATGCTGCAAGACAAAAATAATACAAAATATCTAATTGGTAACAGTAGTACAGAGTTTAACAGTAACCTATCCTGAGCATACATTTTCAATCATATTACAGGATATTGACAATTGCATGTGTCCATCCAATTGCCACAGGTAAAGTAACGGTCACACGCAAAGAGCTTCTAGTCTTGACCCCAGATTAAAACCCTCAGTTTATGGATTATGATGGTTAAAAATAATAGGAACTCTAATTACAATTTTAACTACTTCCAGTTTGAAAAATTAAAATTTTTAGTTTGATGACTACAAGTAGCCTCAGGCAAAAAGGGGTCCATGCTTGTCTAACACAGGGGTGCGCAATCTCATTGTGTACTCGATAATTGATTGTTATGTAATAGGAAATTATCATATTACCTTGATGAATTGATTCGTACCCTTCCTTGTACTGGTTCAAATAAACCACTTCTTTCTCTTCCTGTGACAATTTGTCTTCCAACTTCCTGATAATGTTCTCTAATCTTCGCTTCTCATTTCTTGCTTTATCCTCAAGATCAGAATTAGTTTCTTGGAGACTATGAAAAAATTTAAAATCAAAAGCGGAAAACATTCTTGATTTAAAATTTTAGGGAGCTTTTGATTGCACAACGACGGTAGGACGTAAAAGGAATGACGTCACTAAAAGTCATCTGCACATGCGAGAATGTTAAGTTCTCCTTGTCGCATGGATTCTAGGACGCAATTTGGCCAATTCTATGTATGCAGAGATCGTAGGACGCTCGGTAGGATGGCCAAGTATGAGTGATCTGTTTTAGCGTAGCGCAAATCGAAAGCTCTCTAATATGGTGTGTGAAGGTGTCCTAAAGACAGTCATATATATTATACAAATAATTATATTTGATGCATACCTTTCAATTTTACTGTCTCTTTCTTCAACCATCAGATTTTTGCTTTCTACCGTTTCCTCCAACATGCAAACCTGCTGGCGTTGGGAGCTGATCACTGACTGTGCACCTGTGTTTTGCTTCTCTTTGTCTCGTAGTCGTCTCTCAAGAATTTCAAGTTCATCCTTTAATTCATCGGCCACTTCATTTCTATGCATTTAAACAATCAATCAATAAATCAAGAAGTTAAACAATTTAAGAAAAAACATTTAAGAAAAGTTACTGGCCTATGCATTTTACTCTCCCGGCATCTAATTTTACTAAGAATAGTTACAATAGTACAAAATAAAATGAATTTTATACTTACCTTTGAGCAAAAACTTGCTGTACCAATGTAAAATATGGTATTCTTTCAATGAAAGTTTTGGTTTCTTCGCCACGATCAGCTACAACATTTGTTGCTGTTTTATATGATGTTTCCACCTCCTGTGAACTAGTATATCGTTGACTATAAACAGCATCTAAAATAAATAATAATAAATAAATAAACAAATGGGATAAAATTTACAAAAAAGTGCTAAATAAATAGGACAAGCAAACTAAACATAAAGTATAACTGAACATCAAAAAAAATATTGGGAATATAATATGACACCAAACTATCTTTCGTAAGGTAAGAATTTTTTAGACCTTGTCAAAGAAAGGTGGGAAAAAATATAAATAAAATTTTGTTTTCTTATTTAGCAAATGGTTTGCCAAAAACGTCCAGATGGGAGAAACGAAATATAAAATTTTATTGGTGAATGTAAACAGTGTAGTATTGGGACGGTTAAATACTTTATATTTAAAATATCTTATTTTTTGGAGATTTCAAGGCAGCGGCGGGCGTAATAAAAATAAAGAAAAAGTTTTATTTGTTTCTGAAATTTCCATCTTTTCGTGGTGGTGGGTGCGCTAATTGGCCAAAAAGACAATTTTATTTTGATTTGAAATTACCATTATTGATGGGCAGTGGGTTTGCTAAACAAGGCATAAAAAAAATCTCGCCTAAGGAACACTTTATTTCAGTTATGCTCTATGGATCACCCTCAAGAAATAAGTGTTAAAAAAATATACACTTTTGACTAATTTATGTACCATATACTTCATCTCGAATTATTTTCAAGACTTTTGAAAAGATGCTGGTGTGTGGAATAACATCGTCAAACACTTTAAACACAGCCAAGATTCGTTCAGATGATGGCGCCTTGGTCTCCTTCAGTTTAATCGCAGAAAGAATGGCCTCAAATCCGAGGGCTGCAAGGGATGTGAAAAAAAATGTAATAATATAGACTATTAAAAAAAAAAATACATTTAGGCCTATTTATTTATTTATTTTTTGAGTAAACTTATAATAAAAATAATAAATAATTAAACCATGACTATTAAATTATATATTTCACTGGCTATAATGCAAGTCTAAATAGTCATCACCAAATTGCTGTGTAAATAGATAGCCTCCGGCTAATCAACGACAACAGCCATTTAACTATTAGTATTTAGGTACATTTAGCCTAATGAAATTTGCACTGAATCTTCCTAGCCTAGGCCTATAGATTGGTGATATAGGCATTTGAATTGACCTTATTATGATGACACATGCAACTCAGAAAAACAACAGATGCTTGGTTATATTTGATAGGCATAGGCCTAGTGCAATTGATACCAAAGTTGAAGAACTCTCTCTGCAGGGGTGCAAGAGGAGGGCGAACACAGGCAGAGTGAGCGTCTGCACCCATCCACTTGTTGGGCCTATGATGCCTAGCTAGACTCTTATTGCTATTATGTACGCTTGAATTTAGTCTATTAGAAACAGAATTATCTCCAATTGATACCTGGTGATGGAAGCTTAACAACGTTATCCATTAGGTCAATAAGTAAGCTTTAGCCTAATTGCTGATTCAAAAGAAATATCGGACGGAATCCGCTATAGTTTAAATGTTTTTTCGCTCCTTTCCCACTCCATCTCGAGTCACAGCTAGCATTATGTTGCTATGATTTTATAATTGATTGGCCATGCATGAGTAATTCTCATGACCTCTGACGTTTCACCTGCGCGAAGACGAGAGAGTGTGAGCGAGGAGCAAAATCCTGTGATTAGAAAAAGAAGGCCGATCCTCCTCCCAGGCCTAGCTAGATTGTAAACGAACTGCTGTGCTTTTTTATTTATTATTTTAAGATGATTTTACGAAAAGCAAGGTAAAATGAATAGACAAGGATCAATGGCAAGCATGGAAAGGCTTGCTAAAGCTTTCGAAGCTATTAAGGGGCATCTAAATCAAGGTTCGATATCGGAAGAGGCGGCTACTCCAGCTCCTCTGGCAGTGACAAAGTGAGTTTCCCCTGTCTCTCCTAGAGAATTCATAATAAACAAGCCCAAGGCTGCGGGCTTAGCTACAGGCTACTAAATTACCTGTAAATCAGGTCTACTTTCTAGGCTATGTTCTTATTGTAGGGAATGCTCTCTTGTGGATAGTAATAGATTAGCATTAAAAATGGAACATATTTATTTTGAGAGAAAAATATTGGTCAAGTACAAGGACAGGTCATCTTACAATGTATTGTTATTTCCATTGTCGTTTGCATATATCTTCTGCAGAACTGCAGATTGTAATGAGGTAGAATAACTAATATCTTCTGCCTTATAATTGTTTTATAGATGAATTTATGCATTAAAAAAAAAATTCATTAAATGTAAAAAGTTGTTTTAATTCTTGTATATCATTGTTTGTTTGCAGGTTAGGGGTTTAGAGAGAATTCACTTCGTTAATATTCTTTCTGGGCATGCTGCTAACCTCTCTTTTTTTACTTCTTTTTTATGTGTTTTTTATATATAAACATGCCAAATTAAATAAATAAATAATTAAATCTTCGCTGTTAATTTTATATAATTTATGCATTATCCAAATTCACAATTATGAATCATGCATCATTGATGAATATAACAATTAAAAAACAAATTCTGTTGATGTTTTTAAAAGAATAATACAAAACGTTTATTCGTCTTTTAAAAGCAAAAATACAGTACAAGGAATTACTTCGTTGTTGGTATGTCATATTACAGTCACTACAGAAAACAGTGCAAATATCAAAAACAGTATTGTATTGTATGTATAGCCACATAAATTAATTAAATAAACTTCCATGCTTTCCTGATAGTAGCTAATAAAAGTACAAATGGGGGTTGTTTCAAATTGGAATGGTCAAAAAATCATACATTTTTATTCATTTTTCATTGCCTTTTTTTTATATTTAATTTTGTTGGAAAAGTTCTAAGAAGAAGGACCTCAGTCTGAACAAAAAGGACAGGATTGCCCATTGTACAACCATAGCAGATGGTATTTCACTGCAAACATTTCGGTGAGTGATCCATATTACATTAATCTGTTTCTTTCTCTAATCTAATTTCTAATTGGATGTGTAAAAACAAACTATATTTAAAGAAAATAAAAGTTATAGATTTAGGCCATGTTTGGCTAAGTTTATGTTCAGTAGATGTCTTTTTTTTTGCCCTACAGTATTTTATTTTTATTAGGCTCTATAAAATGCTATTTTCATGATTATTGGTGTTATAACCAAATGTTATTTATTGATTATTATTATTATGTTTTTATTTTATTCATATCCGAAACTTGCAATGCCAATTCTATGTTAATTAATGCATGTGTATGTTTACAATGCCAATAAAAGAATTCAGAATATTTCCTCTTTTAGTATGGATTACTGTATATAACATTGAGGATATTCAAACTTTATCAAACTTTTATCCTATTTGTAGGGGCATCAGTGATTTCCCCAAGTTCCTTAGCATAGCATTTGAGCTATTTCTTGCACTGTGTAATGATGAAGAAGCTGATGTGAGGATGAAGGCAGACGAATCCCTCAACAAAGTTATCAAGGTATTATCCCGCTTCCCTTATTTTGGAGCATCCACATAAATGCGTCCCTTTGCCAACAGGTAGAAAATACAACTACAGTAAAATTTGGGGTGGTTTCAGGGTTCGGGTTCGATTTAGAGGGTTACCTTTGTGTTAAAAGATTGACAATTGTTATTTTGTTCTTTGAACAAGTGGTCTCGAATTAGACGGATCTCGAAATTAAAGGATCTCGGAATTAAAGGGATCTTGGAATTAGAGTGATCTCGGAATTAGAGGGGTCTCAAATTGGAGGGTGCACTGTATACAGCAAAATTAAGGCAGATTAGAAATTTAATTTAGAAATATAAAAATATAGGTGTGCTCCCAGTAATATACTAAAAAAAACTTCATTTAGGTAGTTTATTCAATGTATAATTACTTACTTCATTTAGGTAGTTTATTCAATATATAATTGCTTACTTCATTTAGGTAGTTTATTCAATTTTAATTGAAAATTAGAATGGGGTTTATTTTTTTTACAATTAAAGAACATCTAAGTAAATGTCATTAAAGATTTCTTTTGTGTATGGTAACATTCAAGGAAATTACAGATAAACATATACTAAATAGTAAATGTTGGGCAATTTCTAGGCTATCAGTAGAGACTAGAGTAGACTAGGGTTAGTTAAGATGGTTTGAAGTAAATTTTACACTGTAATCTCAAATTTTAATTATTGATGTTTTTTTTTACAGGTTCTAATGGAGAATCATGTAGGCAGGATACAAATTGAATTGTATAAAGAAATAAAAAAGGTGAATCTTATAATTAGACATGTCTATTGTTTATTAATTTTTAATATTGTTATTATTATTATTAAATTGTATACTTATATTGCACGTATCTAAAACATTGTGCTTAACATTTCCAAATTATTATTTATTTTATCATTAAATTGTTAATTAAGAATACTTTTATTATTCATGACATAAGGATAAAAGAAATATATACTATTGATAAATTACAATGTGTGGTGGTAAACCTCTGTTGAAGATGTTTGTCTTTTAAATCATATTTATTTTATTTTTATGTGCAAAATATTTATTTAGGATATCTTATTTAATGTACAACATACAAAAGACCTTGAAACAGAATACATTGTTTTTCAATAAGCTCCTGACTATTTACAAACATTGGATTACTATATACAACTTGACCAAAGAAAAAAAAAAGATAAAAATTCAAAATGGTTTACAGGCACTGGAGTGTTGAGACTTAAGAGCTTCATGTAAAATGAACATTCATTTAAAAATTCTATAGTTAAATTTAAAGATTTTATATAGTGTTTTTGTAGAAAAAAAAGTCCCAATCAGAACCCAAACCCAAACCACTGTTTGTACAGACCTTGCATAACACTCTATTTCTACTTGCATTGCTTACAGAATGGTTCCAGTAGATCTCTGCGTGCAGCCATGTGGCGCTTTGCAGAGATGGCGCATTTTATCCGGCCTCAGAAGTGTAGGCCATATGTGGTAAACCTGCTGCCGTGCATTGGACGTATTTCTCGTCGAGAAGAAGAATCTGTTCAAGTAAGAAATTTCCCCACTAGATCCTCCTAGAGAGCAAACATGTCCTAGGCATTGCAATGATAATTTCCTGTATAGAACAAATCCTCTCATTGTTGTATTATTATTATCTCCTATGTGATGTAGTTTTATTATTGATTTTTCGAAAACTATTTTTGATATTTTTAGTTTGCTTGGTAACACTTTGTTATGAAATCTGTATGTAGTAATAAAACATGAACTAAACCAGTAAATAAAATGCTGCAAAGAAATTAGGAGATGCAGCTGGAAGCGTACTAATGACGTTCACACAACCTGGTAAATTGACTGCTCCTAGCACAGTAATAGTTATTGTAATGTTTTTTTTTTTATTTACCAGGAAACTCTAGCAAGTTTCATGCATAAGATTCTTCCTGTTCTAGGCTGTTTCCTCACTGATAATGAAGTCAAGGTAAGTAATACAAGTGTTAACCACTTTCAGAATGGCCAAAAATGGCCCAGTCTTTGTAGATGGCAAGGGTCTCTCACCTACTTGCCTCTTAGAAATTCCCAGGCACCTCCTAACCACCTGACCGGACAGCTTAGCCCTCCTTGAATGTATATCCTAGTTCTTCCTTTGTATGTAGGATATACATTTGAGGAGGGCTAAGCTATCCGATCAGGGGGTTAGCCGTCATCGAATGTATATCCTAGTTCTACCATTGTATGTAGGGGTTAATTTGAGTTTTCATTTCTGATTTTTAGGATCTGATGAAAGTATTTTACCCAAACCTACACAAGGCATCTGCTGCCACCAGGAGGACTGCCGCTGCGTGCTTGATGCTTATTTGCCAGCATGGAAGGCGGCCCTCGCTATATTTCTCTATGCTTATCCAAGTTTTATTGAGTAAGTACTATACTTACAATTAACACTTTCCAAAATACCATCTTACCTTAGATATGGTCATGATGACATCACATCATCACCATATATAGCCATATATAGGCATATTATGCCTATATATGGTCATGATTACATCACATCATCACCATATATAGGCATATCATGCCTATATATGATCATGATGACATCACATCATCACCATATATAGGCATGTCACATACAATTTGATAGTGTGGACAGGGCTTTAGATATCCAAATCCTGGAGCATCCAATGTGCAATAAAAATTATGAAAGATTTACCACACAATCGTTTTTTTTTCTGTAACAGAGTTTGTAATTCCGGTGAAAGAACAGGGTGTGCATATGCTGCTGGGAGTCCTTCTGACCCTTCGGCATATTATCCCACATTTGGACGGCAAGGAAGACCGCGATGAAAGTATAAAAGGAAGTTTCGGCAAAGTGAAGTTGGAAGAAGAGAAGCATGTATCGATTCATCAACTCGTACAGGTTTGTTATATCTAAAAGGTTTCATTGAATTGTTGAGAACATCCCTTAAACCTAAACCTTGACAGAATTAAACTGTGCTATTATCTGTTTAACAAATTTGTTTAATTTTTTTCCTATAGATTTATGAATTTCTGTTGTATTGTACCAAACACACGGATCACAACGTCATCACAGCAACTCTGGAAACATTATTACAGCTTCTACGTTTTCTGCCTCCTGAACTACTTACAGTACTGTGTACTAAAAACGGTATCATAAAGAAAACCATTTTTGAAGACAAGGGAATTGCAACACCAGATGAGCTGGAAGAACAAGGCAAGTGAAAAATATATTTGTAAACAAGGATTTGTAAGATATTTTCATATGTTAAATAATTAAATAGTGTTTCGAAGCTTTTTTTCATTATCAGTAGAGAACACCCGTAGTATATAATGGAACAACTTATCAAACACAGAGCATCTTCCTATCATTTTCATTCCAATACTATAGGATTAATATTTTGATTGATTGATTGATTGACTGACTCATCTGTTACTATAGAATCAGCAGGAGGAGTTAGCCTTATACATGAGGCTTCACTAGATGACACAGTTGAACCTACTACTCTGCAGTCAACACCAAGTTCCCTTCGTACCAACATTTTATCGCCCATAAGCATCGACAGTGGCCTCAGTCTGTTGCCGGGAACCCCATCCAGTGGGTCCATACCCAGCAGCCCTGTATTAGATCGGGAGTCGGATTCAACGTCGTTTACATACGACTCTGACGTAGTCATCAATCAAGTAGAAGACGAATATTCAAATATGGTCATTGGTGATTTAGACGATGAAGCGGCTCCAAGTGAGGACGGGATTGATGACCTAATGGAGCGATTTCAGCAGGTAACAGTGGAAGACAAGGATGATAGCAGTGAATTGGAGAGAACAGGAAGTTTAGAGGGGTTACTGCATACCACAGAAGTAGATGATGTTGAGGAAGCAGAAGAACCAGGAGCAGTAGTTACATCAGAGAGAAGAGCTGGAGACATTGGTAGGTATCAAATGATTAGCAGTTGAACTCTGACCCATGAAAGGCAATCTATTTCATATTGGCTGAAGCTTATCCCCCGTTCCAAGTAGCGTGAAGTGGATGAGAGTGTAATGTTCCCCCTGGGTGGGGTGCTGGTCTACCGCAGGTTACTCCTAGCAACTTGCTGGTACCCACAGTAGGGATGTAGTATTGGATGTCGGAGGTGGGCGGGACCACCCAGCCTTAAGGTTTCCCACCCTGTCTAAAGCTAATGTCAATATCCGCCACCCACCCATATTAACCTCCTTTGCCCATCCTTAAAATCCACTCTTATTATGTAGAGTTTACCAATGTTATCACACACCCACCCTCAAAATGTCTATCGCTCACCCTTTTCTTCATCTACAACCCTGCACTGATACTGCTGGGTAGACTGATGCAATGTAGATAAAGTGCCTTGCTCAAGGACACAAGCGAAATGCACATCAAAGGATTGAAACCCCCAACCTCGAGGTTGGGAAACCAAACCATTTCCACTATGCCAAACCGCTTCTACCGATTTATTACTTTGTGATTTTTTTAAAGTATTGATATAAATAAATAAATATTTGCTTTCTATCACACTTTGATTAATTGACAGGTGATTATATTGATGATGAAATTCCGTTGCTGCACTGTGTGCGTCTCCTGGCATCATCCTTCCTTCTGACGGGCTACAAAGGTGGCTTGGTGTCGGATCGTGAGTCCAGGATAAGTGTGAAGGCTCTGAGTGTTGGATGTGTGGCTGCAATTCTGAAGATTCACCCAACTCTCTTTTTTATTAAGCTATTCAAGAAATCAGAAGGCAAAGAAGGTAAATAGTTTCATGTTTCATTGATAGATTTTATTACTTAGTGGTTTGTGTAAGTTTGTTAGATGGTCTATATAGCCCCTGTGGTGAATAGATGAGAGTAGCTGGCACCGAGTTAGGAGTGATGTTTTTTCCCTACCCAGGGGTCTTGCGAGACTTGGGCGAAAAAACGAAATGACCGCCACGCTTAGGAAAAACAAGCAAAAATTGCACCACGCTTAAAATTTTAGTGCCACGCTAAAAAAATATGTACTAAGTACATTTTATTCAAAACATTAATAAATACCAAAGTGTATAACTGCAGGCAATTCCACAAATGTTCTTTTTGGGAACAGTACTTGTTCAATCGCATGTCATTGTGAGGCACCTCCTTCGATGCAAGCCCAACTGGGGAGGGGGGAGGGTGTTTAAATCTTTATCCACATATCATCAACACTTAGTGTACGCATCTTTGTATAAGAGACTCCATCTTGTAGGTATTAGTTTTGCTGAATTGTTTCCATTTCTTCATAATTTAAATGTACACATTGTTTGCATTAGTAAATTAAATAAAATGTATCGAGTAAATGAAATTTAAATTGTGGGACACGGGTGATGCCGTGTCGTATCCGGCACCATAAGTACTACCAAAAATGTGTCCACCCTCTATAGTTTTGTGCACCACCCTTTAAAGTTTTTGGACATTTTCTGAATTTCCGCCACTCTTTAAAGAAATCCTAGCGAGAGGGCTGCTATGTAGTACCTGACGTATTATCATACTGGATATTCAGTACATTCCCAAATACTTGAGAAGAGAATTATTGATTAAACAAGCTAGTAGTCCATGCATTCGCTGCCATGGGCTATCATATTTGGCTGATACTAGTGCTATACAAATCACCATTATTATTATTAAAAATAATATTATAATAAATAATAAATTAAATGCTGCATTTTTCTTTCTTTGATGTCTCCACATTCTGCCTTCATCTCCAATTTAAGTTCTCACAGTCTTCCTGTTAATTATTATGGAACAAGAATGTGTAATTGCAGTCCTTCATACAGATTGTGGTTCTTTTTTTGCCTTAAACATGTTCATCTCCATATTGTGAAAGTAACTTTTGAAACAATTCTTTAGGAGAACAAGTGCTTCGGGATGTAGCTCTCTTTGTTAATCATTCGGATCCCCAGCTGAAATCTCAAACCACCCAACTCCTAGGATGTATGATTAACAGCGCCCTCTTGAAATCTGGTGGTAACTTTGATTCCTGGAGCTGTCAGCAGTGCTGTTTGTATCAGACAGGTTAGTGTATGACATGATGATAATAATAATAATAATAATAATATTAATAATATGCAGGTTTTTATATAGCGCTCTATACAACTAAGTCTCAGAGCGTTTTTCCACACTATTACCCCAGTCATTGGAATGATGCCTATGGGGGAAATTCCATAGTTTGCTGCATGAAATATATAAGCGCATTTTGGACTCAAACCTTCTTAGGTACCCACTTATACTCCTGCGTGGAGAGAAGCAATGCAGATAAAGTTCCTAGCTCGAGGACACAAGCGAAATGCATAGTAAGGGATCGAAACCCTGACCTCGAGGTTGGGAAAGCAAACCGTTCCTGCTGCACCAAACCACTTCCACATGATATACTCGAGAATCAATGTAGAAAAGACATACAGTTAGTGTTTACCCACCAGAGGGTGTAGGCCTAAATCTTGTAATATCTTTTTGGTCTTGTGATCGTAATAACCTATATTTTTGTGTGCCCTAGAACCTGTATATCTGGAGAATCTTCTAAATGCGATATCAAATGTTCTGAAGGACGAATCATCTGTTGCAGTTAGAGGATCTTGTCAGGCAGTCAAGGTTAGATTATGCCAACTCTAAAGTTCAAAATCCTTTATTTACTGAATTTCACATGCATAATTAATATTAATTGAATAACTGAGAACACAGTAAAAAATAAATAAAATATATTGTTCTTATCTCTCCTGTCACCACTATGATCAGTGTTCTTATTATCGAACAAGTTGATAAATTTTCTTTTCAGTGTTTTCTGCCAACTATGTGCAATAGCTCTCATGGACTTTCAACCCTGACCCTAACCCTTGACCTTTTACCTGTTGGTGAAAACAGTTACTGGCTTGTTTTGGTTGAACTTTTTGATCTTATCACTTGCCTAGATTTTAGGTGAGTATATTACCCTTGTATTTACCTATGCATTATATATTTTTATATGATTATGAAACATTTAGTTTTAACAATGATTGTGATGGTATATGTTTTCCTTTTATTTATTTTTTTTATAGGAAATTCCATTTTCTGGAAATGGTGTATGGAGAATCAGTCAACAGAAGTTATAAATTTAAGGTAAATTATTAAAAATTATTATAAAAAAAATGTATACCACATTATTGTATAACAAGTATTGAACTGTAATTGATGATGATTGAAGACAATGATGGAGATAATAATGATGATGATGTCATTGTTTTAAAACAACTTGGCAAGTCTATTGGCCGGGCAGTTAAGACAGGGGACCCGTGACATGTAGCCATAATATCGGTGGTGGAACAAGCCTTCTCGGATAAGGACTCTAAACCGTAGGGTCAGTTTACACGATTGGCTAGTGTGCACTTTAAAGAACCCAGTACATCCTTTGAGAAAAGTAGAGGGTTACCCTGGTGTACTAGTCCATTGTCAGCCTCCTGTCTGGACACAAAAGGAGTGTTTACATCGCGGCCCATTTCAGGTATCCTACCTGCGAATCCTTCTACCACACTACGTAAGCAAGGTCATACACACTAGCTACGTAGTGACTGGAGAAGAAAAAGATACATAACTTAATATACAGAAGAAAGTAATAGTTTTATAAAATTACATGGTTATGGATCATGCTGTAAGGGCATGTTGCATGTTTTTGTCAAATATGGCACATTAAGTACTTAGGGATTTATTAAAAGCAACAACTCATTTCTATGTAACAATCCTTTTGCTTTTGTATTCAGCCCCTGGATCTGCAATCTCAATTTCTTGAAGTTCTTTTGAATCATCTGAGTAACGAGGATCATCGAGTCAGGTTGTCCAGCTCTAATGCCCTCGTCAAGTAAGTTATCAAAGTTACCATTACTCCTAATACTTCTACTGCTGCTGCTGCTGCTACTACTACTTTCCTACTACTGCTGCAGCTGTTACAAGTCTGTGGGGGTGTTCGAAAGGTTCGAAAGAACCCCCCTTTTCCAGAAATGCCCTTTTTAATTATTATTAGAAAGTACCGTTTGCATGGAAGTATTTTAGATTTAGCATTTGTATTGCCATTTCTGGACATTTGAGGTGTTATATTTTTTAAATGAAACCCAACCATGGTGGGACTGAGGTGGGTAAAGAATAAAAGTGCCCTTTTGTTAAAAATTAGAAACCCCCCCTCCCCCCTTTAAATATCCTGCCTAAATTCTTGTGTTATGGCTGCTACAGGATTGGAGTGGTTTGGATTTCTTTGGTGTGATACACACCAAAGATAACTCACAAAAGTCCTGAGACTTTTTATTTCGAGTGGAATCCTTTTGGTAGTGATTGGGCAGTACACCGAGAGACAATCCCCCACATTCTTTAACATGAACATATTTTTTTGCACACTGGACCAACGGCCCAAACATCTCATCCAAAAGAACAATGCACCTCTGAAACTTGCATTTTAGCCCTTCAGCTGAAACACAAGGAGATCAGCAATGAGAACGGGAACTGCTACTATTATACTGCTTCTACTGCTGTGTTAAGAGAAAAATCAATTTGCTAAATATAGTCTGTGTTGTCCAAGCTGTCATGCTAAAAGTGTCCATCATAAAGTAAATCATTATTGATGGCTGGGCGGCTGACTGACTAAGCTGTTGCTACTACTATTCATACTACATTATTTCTACTTCTAAATTCACTACCTCTACCACTCCTAAAATACTTAGTATGTGATTTATTTTGCAGATTGATACCAAAGCTGTACTTTGCAATTGATTTCCCCGACCCCGATTCAATCAGTGTCCTTGCTCGTGACCTAAACAGCGAATACCTTGACCCTGTGATAAACGAAGCAGCTGTGTACGTACGTGCACCAACTATCGCGATGCACGATATTCCAATCTATAACCGTGGCCCAACCCCTCATTCATCGGGCATTGAGTCAAACCTCTCAAGAGTTGTCGATTCCATAATGAGCCTAATGAATAATTCATCATCAAAGAATTTAACAGTAAGTAAAATTTGGTGAATAGGTTCAAGGGTCATGTTGTCTGCTTTTTATAATAATAGTGTTCGTGTTGCCTTCCTTTAAATTTTATTGGTTGTGTTGTCTCTATTTAAATTTTTGTGTAGTCTGCCTTCAATTTGTAATGATAGTATTTTCATTGTGTGAGTTAAAATTAACTTTATTTTTACTTCTATTAGTTTGGTTGTATCGAAGCACTCCAGAACCTTTCAGTTAATTATCCTGTCCTTTACTACGCTGGAGCTTGGAATTGTGGAAGCATATCCAGTCTCCCAAAAGGTGACAGCTCAAAGCAGAAAGACCGTGGTGGTGGACGTTCTTGGAGTGACAGTCTGGGAAAGAGTCTAGACATTGAAAGGCTGAATATGAGTGCAGGCTGTGGACCATTACCCATAATTCTTTCAAACCTGACCTCCTCCCTGCTGATGCTAGATCTCAGAGCTCACCAAGATGTGATGCTATTAGCTGGCAACATACTTTCAGGTAAACATAGAGGGCAGTGTGACTATCTGCATATAATATTGCAAGCCCTCTCCAGAATATCAAATTTAATTTTTTCAAAAACATGTGACACGCCTAAATATGGTCATGATGACATCACATCTGGACCATATATATTCACATCATGACTATTAATGCTTATGTTGATAATAAAAAATTCTGAGACAATTGACTAACAAATTTAGATTAGGGCAAGTTATCAGTTTGAGAAACAGGTTTAAGATCAGGAAATAAAATAAATAATCAATAACCTAACTAGAGAAACATTGAATAAAAAGGCCATGTCATTTTTTTTTGGGGTATAATAACTACAATAATTTTAATTACAATTACCAGCATAATAATTATTATAAATATTAAACAATCTCACAAACAAATAAAAAAGTACACAAAAAATTTGATCAGAAATAGGAAAACACCCACCCCCAAACCCTGCCCCCACTTCACAAACCAACAAACACCAAAAAGAGAAAATTAAGTAATTAGAGTTCATTTTTAGCTTGACTTGGGCATAGGCATATCTGAAATTCTCTCAGTTGTAAAATAATAATCAATAACCTAACTAGAGAAACATTGAATAAAAAGGCCATGTCATTTTTTTGGAGTGACATTCATACTATATGTACTTAAACTCAGTGCACATCCTAACTGTTCTACTTTGGTCAAGGTGCTGCATTTCACTGCCTGAAGGCCGCACCATCAAAGGCAAAGACCCCATCCTCCAAGGAGCATACAAGCTGGCCTAGCCTACAGAATAGGCTCTTGGTTCCCCTAGCAGACCAACTGTTACAGCACATTGTAAGAATATTGAATATATGCAGCCACATTGTTGATGGCACACAACCAGGACCCCCAAAATCACAGGTGAGAAAACATTCTATATATTAATTTTATTTTAATCTAAGGGAGGCTTTTGAAGCCACTATAGCAGTGCCCCCCCCCCCCAAAAAAAAAAAGAACCTGGGCCCTCTGTCATTGAAAAAAAACAGTCATTTCTTCAGGAAACAGTGCTTTGAACAAAACTCTTTAGTCTGAGAGTGCTCACATCAGCCCTGAACATTTTGGAGTTAAGGAGGGTGTGTGCACCCCTTTCAGGAATTTTGGTACCATTGTTGGGGAATCTCTGGTGCTGAACATTATATTAAAATGGGCGCTGTTCAATGTTTACCTGTACTTGTTAAAAAAGCTAAAAGTAAGTTTAAAACAATGAAACAATTTGGTTACAGGAAAGTTACTCATCTTCACTGTTGTTGTGGTTGGAGATTATAATCTGATGTACTGTAAAAGTGTTTATTTTTTATTTGATTCAAGACTGCCCTACCAACACTACCATCAGGGCCTTCACTAAGCCCAATTAGGCGCAAAGCCAAAGGAAAGGACAAAGACAAGGAGAAGGAGGGCCTAGACCAAGGTACCCCATCGTCTAGCCCAGCTAAGCTTCAAGGCAAGGAAGTGAAGGCGGAGAAGGCTGAGAGCACTGAAGATAAGAAGAACCTGAAGGTGTTGTTTGGTTCTTGCTATCAGTTACCTCATTACATGAAGCTTTATGATATACTCAAAGGGGCCTACAATGGTTACAGAGTAAGTGGTATTTGCTTTAATATTATTACTATTATATAGTATATGCGAGTTGGATGGTAGAGTGGTTAAGGTGGGGCGCCACGATACAGTCATAATATTAGCACTGGTTTGAATGGCACGCTCGCCTATGGTTGGTGGTGGAAGCTTTCTTGTATAAAGATTAGAAACCGTAGGTTCAGTGTACATAATTTGGCTCGTATACTTTAAAGAACCCAGTACATCTGTCGAGACGAGTAATGGGTTACCCCGGTGTACTGGTCAATTAAGCCTCTGTTGTCTGTTGAAGGTAGCTCGTACCTTTACCGGGTAGCACAGGCATGAAGAAACCCTTAGGTCTTAGGTTAGGCAAGATACTAAGAGCTAGTCCACGCCTTGAGCGCTTTGAGACCGTTTCGGTATAAAGGGCTATATAAACTAAGTACATTACATAAAGGTTATGCATTTTTAAATAAATGATTGAATAAGTGCCTCTCATGAAATATGCACTATTAAAAATCTGCGTCTCAGGAAACAAACTCTTGAGTAAGCGCAACTGCAGTGCCGAGTGTAATCAAGACTACTTACTACTTACACTTTCTTGATATTTTAATTCATTGGGAGACTACGCTAAAACCATTTTCTCATGGATTATATATGGGCGATTTCACAGTAATGTAATTGCAAATCACAACAATTTCTGGATGTGTCTAAGATTCATGTAGATTAAAGTTTTGGTGATTGTGTGCCTTCCAATGTGGAGTTGGCCATTTACTATCATTGCAGACAAGGCTGTCATTGTAACACGTAAAATATTTTTCCCAAAGGTTTCATTGGAACTACGGAAGCGTGAGAAGTTTTGTTCATTACTCAAGACATGCTTGGATACATTCTCACAACTATTAGAAATGGCTTCACTACATGAAGTTGGCAAGGTAATGAATATTCATGAAATATAATAATTTTTTTGTTTAGGCACACTCATATTTAAGCTGAAATAAATTATTACAATTATTGTTATTGATACTTATTATTAATAATTTTTAAAATTTTTTTATATAATTGCATGTGAGATTTTACACACACTATGTACAGAGGAGATGACACTCTAAAAATGTAACACTTATAGATCTAGCATTATAATGTTCAATATTTTGGCTGTGGTCTCCCTATCAAAACCTAAGGCAACATTATATCTAACATGCTGTAACATTTTAACTAACATGCCATGTAATAACATTTTGCAGATTTTTTTTTTGAAGCACAAGTCTGTCTATATATCTATAAAAATGTATACCACACTGCTTTTACTGGATGCGTAGTACAATTTAATGAGTGCATTATTAAAAAACAAAATAATTGGTTCCTGGTTCTGATATAAATTGCTTAAATTAAAAAAGGTTGTTTTTCAAAGACAAACAAAACATGCATTATTTGTCTTCCGTTGCTAGGGAGGAAAGGGCTGTTACGCTCTCTGGGATTTTGAAGCTGACTCATCCTGGTTGTTCAAGGTACCAGCCTGTTGCCATAGCGATCTAAATTGCATGTTTTGGGCAGTGGCATTGTGAATTTTTTTTTTTATTACTGCATGTTGGTTTTTGCTTCTTGTCTTTTTTATTTTAGCTTTTCATCTCTATTTTGACATGATTTTCATCTTTGTTTGATTCATTATGTAGCACTGGAAGGTAACTTCTCATCTGATACAGTGAAAATGATGACATCATTTTTATTCAAGTATTCATAAATAATCAACATGAATATTACACAATACAGTATATTACTATATAGTTTGGTCTTCAATTGTTTTTGAGCTGTGAAAGTATACAAATTATCAGTGGTTAATTTTCTGACAATATTTATTAATGATATAGTACAATACAATATACAAACACTCCTTATTCGTCCTCATCCAGTTTTGAATCTGGAATATTTAGGTGGACCCCTGTGGACCTGTAGCAGCCACAGTGAAGCTCCAACCGTGCAGCATGTACTAGATACATACGGTTGCAAACAGACCTTTACCTGCCTATTTTTTGTATAAGCGTTATTCAAAGAGCTAATTTTTAGACCTGCATTTTGTTCGCAACTTCTTAAACAGGTCTTGAATCTGGGCCCACAATATTGAAGGCAGGAAGCTTACCTCTCAGCCAGAATTTCAGCTTATATAGTATCACATAACTACACTATGTGACACATAAATATTTTTTAAATATTTATGCAATACTATTACATAATAACTTGAAAACAAGTAAAACTCCTGATTAAATCCTATACTCAGTCCATCCCACAGTAATAAAAAAAGAAAAAAAACAAAAACAAAAACAAAAAAAAACAAAACAGAAAAGCACTACAGATTTTACTCTGATTAGAAGCCATATTTTGGTCACTAAATTGTCTGGGATGCATTAGACAAACCATAATTTAGCTTGATACAAGTATAATCTCCTTGATTGATGAGAAAATGAGGCTGTCAATGGTAGAATTATTGTTCACTTGTGCACCATCCTAAACCTTGCACACCTGCTTACATTTCTCTCTATACAACTGTGAGAGTCCTAATTCACATGGAATGGTAGAGCACTGGCACTGCCTTGCCTAAATCACATTAGAAGTTACTTGGCATCTTAAAAACTCTTTTGATCAATTTTTTATTTTTATTTTGGTGCTTACACCAACCTTTTTCGATTCTCATTACTTAAGATTGCATCTTGTTAAGCATTTTCTTTTTTCAAATATATTTATAAAATAATAATGGTAAATGATAAGTGTGTTTTGTTGTTGTTTTCTTGTAGTACACGGAAGAACTTTTAGGTTATCTCAAGGCAGCTACATCGCTTGAACCCACTGCGACAATACTTTGTGTTGAACAGGTGAACTATTTAATCTCATTCACATTCATCCTTCATGTCAACATCCTGAAGTCTCTACTTCTATTGGCTATGATGTGTCTAGTTATTGCTTGTAGTTGCACAGAGTATCAATTTCAGTTTGTATTAATTTTATTTTTTGTTTTCATTTACAGTTACTCAAGGCACTGTTCTCCACCAACTTGATTAGTCAGCCAGACCCTGTCTTCCAACAGTTAGCGAAAAAGCCCAGCAAGGCAGCACGACTGACGTCAAATCTTAAGCCAGGCCTGTATCAAGATTGCTTCACTGTGCCCTACACCCAGTACTCACAATTCTTGTCTGCTGTCAATCAGAAATCAGAGCAAATAGATACAGATGCTGATGGTTCTGGGTAAATTTATCATTTTATTATAAATTATAAATGTACTGATCATCTTCTGAAATATTGTTGATGAAATGGTTTATTTATTTGTTACATCCAAATCAACAGTGATACATCACTACTGACAATTTGTAAATAGATTAAGTTAAAATTAAAATCTATAATATCATTTCTTTTCTAGGTGGTTTGGGTGGGTCAAATCAAAAGTTGGAGATAAGAAACAACAAGCATTGAAATCCAACTCAAAAGAGAAGGTGAGGATATAGTAAAAATTATATTGAATTAGACTAAGATAGCTAATGATTTTATATAAATTTTATATACTGTATTTTGTAGAGTTACGAGAGCAGGTTAATTCAGTGTGTTTGGTGTACTTGATTGTTGAGGTTCTAAACAAAAGTTTAAATTATACGTAAATTGCAGCATCACATAAATCCACAACAAGGGCAGAAATGAACCAGAGAACTAGAATGACCTCCTACTCTTCCAAAAGTGCACACAATGTGGAAGTGATCTTTGGGCAAGGAGTGTCTTGGTTTAGAGCCAGTGTTCAAACCATAGTAACACTCCTGCCTAACCACCTATCCACATATTCCAAACTGGGTACTAATTCCATTGCTATTTTAACCTGGAGAGGACTAAAATGCAAGTTATAGAGCATTTTATTTCAAAAGAGGTTTTTAAAATTCTGGTTCTGTAAGCATTTATGACCCTTGTGAACCGTCAAAAGCTCTCTTGTGCTAGGCCAGTAACTTCTGTTATTTTCTCTAATTCAGACATCTCTACATGGATATATTCGCCTCTTTGAGCCTCTAGTGATAAAGGCATTGAAGCAGTATACCATGACGAGCTGCCTAGGCCTACAACAACAAGTGCTTCACCTACTGGCCCAGCTTGTCCAGCTTAGAGTCAACTACTGCCTCTTGGATGCTGACCAGGTCTGTATGATTCTCTTGGATATAATCCCAATGTATTGGTTTCCTTGCCTTGCACCATTATGTAAATAATGTGGCTGATATATTTAGTGAAGCTTATCATTTGGAACCGTCATTGCCAGGCCACTGTCTTTACCTAAGCAGCATTTCAATGGACAGCCTGATAATTCAAGCCCAATTCACTATCAAGTTCCTGTCCAATTCTTTGGCATCCATAGTGAAAGGCCCTTTGTTCTGTATTAATATCACTAAAAGAAGGCTTAAACATACAGCTAAAACAAAGCCTCTGTATGAGCCTTTGATAGTTTGATTGGCTGCTATGTTTTATGTCTTAATTTGAATTTTGAATTTTGAATTTTGAATAAAGATACCATTTTGAATTGAAGTACGTGTTAGTATAGTTCGATCCTGGTAGACACACCATACTATTAATGCTATTGTAATTATTTTGGCAATTTGTAACTCATTAAAGCATAGTTGTAAAATGATAAATTACAGTCCTAATTTAAAATGCTATGTAAAAATTGTGTGTAGGAAATATCTGTCCGGGAACTTTTTATATTCATGAATATCTATATAGGATTAGGAATTATGTTTCCATGCATTTATTTATGTCATTTATTTTTGTTTAGATTTTCATAAACTTTGTCATCAAACAGTTTGAACATTTGGAAGAAGGCCAAATCAAGTAAGAGCTTCTAATCTTATCATTACTCAGGTTTAGTAATTAATTACAAATGCTATATTCAGTGGAATGATAATAATATTAGCACTGATATTAAAAATTATAAATGAATAAAATAAATCAATCAAACTAGAAAAACTTTTTTTATCTAACAAGATACTGATTGCTGATGTTTGTTTTCTCATAATCATATGTGTTTGTTTATGCACCATTTTCGCTAAATTTGAATTGAAAATTTCCAATAACTTGGCAACTACGACTGGGGAACATCGAGAGGCCTAGGCATTTCGCTGTACACAGTTACCAGTGTTTGTCTGTGCTCTGTGACCGGTGAACGACCTTGTTGGATAGTGAGTTAGCCCAGGCCTAGGATAGTCTTTGAAAACAAAATGGCAAGGGCCCCCCCCCCCCCACCCAAAAGAAAATAATGGTGCATAAAACCTGCAGTGTTTTTGGTTGTCAAAGTACTCAAAAAGAAGATTTGTGTCTAGAATAAAGAAATTCGCAAACAACAAGGTGTTTTGGCTGGATGTTCCCCTCTGAAAAGTTACAAGACATTGGTGGCGCTGTTTCAAAATAGACCTGATAAATTGGTGTGTAGTCTGTCAAGATAGCACTAATAATTATACTATAAATGTGGTAAAAGCAATATTAATTATATCGGTTAACCTATTAACACTCTCTTTCCAGAGATTATGAGACACTGATACCTCACATCTTCTACTTCCTGGTTCTTCTGTCGTATGAACGTTACCATACTGTCTCTTATACACATCTAGATGTGTATAAGAGACAGGTATACAGCGCTGGCTGGCCATGGTCTTGGCTATCTTGAACATACTCATTTCACAATCCAAGGAAGAGGTGGTATTGTCACGCCTCAATGATCTTGGTCTAAATGTCAATCTCGTTGCTGAGCAACCGACAACCGAATTCCAAGAGGCAGAACATCCCAGACGGCTTATAGGAGGCCAACCAGCTGTTGCAGCTGATATTAGTTTTGCACGGTAAAAATTTATAAGAGAAAGTTGTAATTCCAGCCATGCATTCCCACATGCTTACATGACAGTCATACATTCCCAACCTTTTTGCACTGCTTTTAAATATCGCTTTTTGCTCAGTTCTAAAATTAACTTTTACAGATGATTGGTGTCGGGTCGTAAAAAAACAAGGTCTTTTATAGCCAAAGATGGTTGGAGTGCCGCACACATAGGGTTTACATTCATTGTCGCAGGCTGCAAAATTAATCACTCTCAGGCCGCATGTGGTCTTTAAGCTGCACTTTGCCCACCTATGCATTAGGCCTACATGTTAGTTTTGTGTGAACTCCCATCTTCTTCATAAATTAATCCTAATCCAGATTTACCTATTGACAATATAAACATCATAGCTGTCCATTCTTGATTGGCTGTGTATCCACAAGAATGACACTTTAATGCTTGACTCCTAGATTGATGACTACAGTATGTATCCTCCAGACCTTTGACCTTAGCATCATGGCTATTGGCTGAGCATTAAGTATAATCTTTTGTTGTAGGTTTCTGCTGCAAGTTGTTGGCATCACTGCTGGGCGTGTCCTCCAGGAGTCTACTAAGTCAACAGTTAAGGATTATCATTTTCTTTGTCAGCAACTTTCGCATCTCCTTCTCTACATAACACACATGTTTAAGTCTGGTGAGTTTGATTGATTTATTTTTTCTACTGGATTATATGTCAGTTCACAGAACCATCAGTGGCAGATTCAAGGGTGTGGGGGAAGGGGAAGTCGACCTTGGGTCCCCTAGATTTAAAAAATTTTAAAAAATATTGAAAAAAAGATTATATTCAAATTTAAAGTCTTGGAGTGTTGTAGGTTGAGATGATATAATATTTGAATTAATTTGGTTATTCAATAATGGACCCAGATGAAGTTCTGCAAAGAATCATAGTGTTGTACCATTATCTTATTATTTGTAATCTTGGTGTTTCTGTTGTAGGTTCTTATCGCAAGATCTGTTCCGCCTGTGTAGCTTGTATTCACTCAGAAACAACTGAAGGATTCTCTTTGAACCATCTCAACAACATCTTCTTAAGTCTTGTGATGTTTCATCCAACCATAGTGCTTCAGTGGTGCCAAGTAAGCTACTTATTGGAAGTCTCGTGACACCAGAATTCTTTTATCATGATTAAAACTCTCTCTACTGCCTAACTCTTGTTACGAGACATAATTTAATACCAAGTGTCACTTTTCATTTATTTAGGAGGCATTTAAATATTAGGTGATCTTCTAAAATGTGCTTGAATGGTCACCTTCTATGAATTTGGTTAGGGCCTTGAGCACAACTGCAGTGGATATGTGTGCTTTATAAATATTATTTAACAAAATAATATGGTATCATTATTTGGGTCTTGTTTCTCAAAGGCATTAATGGTTTTAAATTTATAAAGCACAAATTACAAACAAGTGTAGAGATGTTTGGAAATCTGAAACAATAAAAAAAAGTAAAAATGTAAGTTCCAAGCCAAGCCAGCACCCAAACCGCAGCATGTATGGGGACACACCCTCGTCGGTAAGCAGGGTAGGGATTGATCAAAGTTAACCCTGGTCAGCAGCACCTGTTTCAGCCTTCTCAGACTCAGGTACCTCCTGTACTAACTAAAGCTAATAAAACATTAACTTCTACAAATTCATTGAGCCTCTCTGTTTTCCTTCAATCTTTTACAGGTGCTCCTTCTGCTCAACTACAGCGAACCTGAATGGTGGGCAGACATCTTGAAAACCAAGCGTCGTCAGCCGTTGTCCAAGTCATTGTCTTCTGGGAGCATGGACAACATGGATCTGGATCTCCAGAAAGCTCACTGCCACTCAGAGATTGTCCGCAGAGGTGGACTGGTACTCTACTGCGATTATGTGGTGAGTTCTTATGTTGTAGATTAATTTTAGTCTTTTTCTAACTATATTGTTTATAAATTGATTTCTATTGCCTCCCAGCAAAAAAAATCTTCATAAAGACTTATCACAAGTCTTGTGTATTTTCCTCTCAGACACTTATTCAAAATCTTTTCCTTATCCACTGTGTTTCTATTATTCATTTAACATTCTATTTTTCTTTCAAATCACTTGATGAGGCTAGCTGGAGCTAATGAATGCTTTTGTTAGTCTGGAAAAGTTGCTTGTTTTATTTAGATTGTATTTGAATAATACTACTCATATATTTAATTATCAGTTGTGTAAATGCCATTTCAACAATTTCGGCTTCACTTTGCAACTAACAAACTCTCTATTTTTTTTTTGTAGTGTGAAAACCAAGAGGATGCTGAGCCCATGACGTGGCTTATTGTCAACCATGTCAATGACATCATTGAGCTATCCCATGAGCCTCCAGTTCAAGATTTCATTAGGCAAGTTTAAAAAATTAAATCTAATTGTTTCAGTACCTCTCATATTTGCATTCTTTTGTTTTTGCTACTTTTGTATTTATAGAAAATTATTCGCTACTATTATTATTTTGATTGTTTTTTAGTGCTATTCATCGGAATTCAGCCGGCAGCGGTCTTTTTCTCCAAGCTATTCAGTTGAAGTTTAAACATCAAAACAATCCGTACCTCATCAAGAAAACCTTGCAATCCATAGAAGCCATACACCTAACCCAGTCAGGCCGGCTGTTGGCGCTACTCATAGACAAATTTCTTCGCACACACCATAAGTCTGTTACTCGGTTATGTGACACCATTGCCTGCCAAAGGGTGGAGATGTTGCTTGCAGAGGGCATTGACCTCAGTCAGAGTCAACTGCCGTTAGAAGAGCTAAATAAACTGCAAGAGCTCATGAAGAAAACAAAGCTAACGCAACGGTAAATATATATTTAATATATAATTAAATAAATTAATATTTGGGTATTATTATTAATTTGTAATTTAAATTTGATTTGAGAGTACTGTATCCCATGCAGGAATGGTAATCATTTGGATTTTGATTCTTAAAAATATACTGTAATCATATAGACAGGCAATAAACCTAGGAGATTTTTAAACATTCTCTGAAAAAGTCATGTTTCTATATTTCAAAAAATATTCATTGTTAATACAATTTTCATGAAATTTTTTGAATTTTTTCTTTCATCTAGTAAGTATTTAATACTTTTTATGAGTTTACCACAATTGTTTAATTAAAATTTATCATTACCATTTGAATAGCCATTCAAGATTGACTTCCCTGATGTCAAAGTTGAAGAGCAGATTACTCAACGAGCCCACTCAGGCAGCTGCTATTCAAACCATTGATGTTTCCATAGTAGCAAAAACAATTCCAAATAAGGTAATATAGAACATTTTAATATAGAACAAGTTAATTATCATATCTAAACTATAACAGTGAAAGTGCAATTACACAGGTAAAACAGGTAATTCAAACTTGTTTTTTCTGTGTAAATGCCCTTTAAAGGAATTTCGTATTGAAAAATAATATATTGGAATAAAAAACGTTTTTGTATCAAATGTATAAGAATATTTTTTCATTAAGTGTTTTTTTTTGTTTCTAATCATCTATATGCTCACAAATGCATCGCCTGTTCATGATTTAATGTTGATATTTGTCCCAGGAATGGTTTGTATCTCTACTGTGCGAGTGCACTAGTACAGCGTCGTCTGCTACACCTACTCATGTTAGTGCGTCGTCTGCTCCATCAGCTCATGTTTGTGCCCACCTCCTTGCCAATCTCCAGCAACAAGACATTCTAGCAATTATGATGAGAGAGGTAAGCTTTAGAAAATTTATGGTAAAAATATCACATTATTTATATTTCCAATAGACCTGCTTACATGAATGAACCAATATATGTCATGTTTTTGGCTTTTTGAAGCCATCTAAGAGCTAGTGGACTTGAGTTGAATAGCTTGTTGGTTAAGATGCCTACCTTCTAATCCCAGGGTCCTGGGATCAATTCCTGTCACAGCAGGATTTGTCTGATGGCCAGAAACAACTCCACTCCCTAGGCCTCATAAAGAGCATCATTCCATCCTGTAAGTGAGGAGTGTACTATGTGAAGGAATATACAGTATAAGTAAAAAAAAAATAGTTTAAATTATTTTTTTTTTATTAAAGGAAATTTTTTCTACAGCAAAGTTGATAGAACAAATAAAATGAAGTATTAATCCTGAAATATTTTTGTTTATCTGATTCACAGGATTTTGACAACTCTATATTACCAGCTTGTATCTCCCTCGGTTTGGAACGAACGCAGAATCAAATGACGGAAGCAATTTTAACTCAGAAGACCTCTCCCTCTGGTGGCAGTCCCAGCAGTATTGACCATCACCCTCTCCTACAAGCAGCCCAGGTCACGTTATTCATGCATGTTCACAATTTGGTGGCGCTACTCCCTAGCCCGCATCAACAGGTATCTTGGCAGCCCCAATCAGATGCTCAGACAGACTATCAGACGAAAACGGAGTTCGTGTACCGTGACTCGAGCTGGTTAGGCCGGCTTGGTAATCTCTCTGCGGCGATGGTGCAATCGCTTGCCTCGTTTAAGGAACTCAATGTACAAGTACAGCCGGATGTGACTAAGGATGTATGTCGCTTTGTTGTCACATCATTGGAGGTTAGTTAACCACAATGCAGTGCTGTTCAGAGAGATAGAAAGAATACTGACCAAAAGATTTTTGAATGTGTATGGTAGTCAGTCATAATGGACCTTCCCAAAGTGTCAATCAAACTTAAGCAAGACTTTTTTTATTTCTTGTTTTGCATACTTATTTTTTTAAAGATCATCGGAGGAGGGTGGAATAAAAATAAAATTTTGTTTTTTTATTTAACAAATAGTTTTGCCAAAAACATTCAAATGGAGGAGAAAATAAAAATTTAATTTTATTGGTGAATGTAAAATGGGATGGTTAAATGCTTCAAATTTATATAATTAGGAAAGAAGGCAGCGGAGGACTTAATAAAAATAAAGAAAAATTTTTATTTTGTTTTCTGAAATTTTTATTTGTGCGGGTGTGCTAATTGACCAAAAATAAAATTATAATTTAATTTGAAATCATCAATATTTGCGTTCGGCGGGTTCGCTAAACAAGGTCTTGCCTTAACAACTGACCAATCAGAACATGGCCACAAAGATGCATGTGTTCTACATGCACACATTTACGCTATCATTTTGTGAGACCTTAGCAACAATATCCAAGGGGCGTGGCTTAGCAGGAAGTGACAGTTGATGATTGCTTATGATGTTTATGATGATTGCTTATGATGTTTATGATGATTGCTTATGATGTTTTTTGTCTCATATATTGGAAGAGATATTACATTGGAGATGTTAATATTGTTTTCAATTTATAATTTACATTATGTGTAATACATAAAAAATTCTTTGCGTTAAACCAATGCAACTTACTGTTATTTTGTGTATGTATAATGTTTTTCTTGGTTTTTCCAAAATTGCAGGTTGTATGTTACAGGTTTCTAGTTTGCAATTCTCTGCCGCCCTCACAGTTAATCCAGTGTGCTCTTGAATCATTAGCTTTGACGCTCCAGATGGTGTCATTATTTGCTGAGTTCAGTATGGATGAGAATAGCTCATGGGTTCATTCTTCTGTAGAATGTGTGTTTAGGATCTTTACTCTAGGTAAGTATTTTATAAAATGTGTATCAATTATTTAATGTTTTTCATAATTCTATAATGGATGCAGTACCACATGATCATGAATTGATTGATTGATGTGATTATTATTATTATTATTATTATTATTATTATTGTTATTGTTATTATTATTGTTATTTTGGTGATATTTTTATCATTATATTCCTGTTTATTATCCAATGCAATACCTTGTCGTAGGACCGATCCAGAAACTCTCACTTTTAAACACAAGTATGGTGGAACTAATGCATTTAAATATTGTCTATTTCAGAATGCCTTGTGATGTTCATGATAAAGCTTTTGGAGGGTTTATAAGAGATTTAATATATGTTATCAAAAGCATAGAATTTTAGGATACTTTTCTGGGTTTTTTTTATTGTTTTTGTTTATGTACTGTTAGTTGTGTAAGCCATTCGACAGTGTGCAATTCTCTGAACTGTTTACTTTTATTAACCCCAGGTGCTCTTATGCTTTTCTTTATTTTGTTTTATTTCTTTTTAGGAAATTGAATAAAATATAAAAATAAATAAAAATGAATATATGAAATGCTTGCATCCTACCCAGTCATGTAAATCTACATTATTAATTGTTCCTGAATCTTTCTATTGCAGCCAAAGGAAATCAACTAGAATGCATTCCAAATATCAAAATGTCAGAGTTCACAGAGGGTAAGTTGATTTTTAAAATTAACATATTATAAATACAAATTTCTAGTATTTTAACCTCATCAATTTTTAAAAAATGGACTCCCAAACCTCAAATAGTTTAGTTGGATGAGAAAGAAAAGTAAAATGATAAGTCATGTTTAATAATGGTAAATCAATAAATTGTCTTGTTATTTCTCTAATTTTTTTATTTCTTGCAAATTTTGCCCTACCCTGTGTTGGATGGCCAAGCAGTTAAAGCAGGGGGCGCCATAACCTACTAGCCATAATATCAGCGCTGGTTCTAATGGTACACTAGCCAATGGGTCTGGTTGTGCAACAAGTCTTCTTGGATGAAGACTATAAACCCCAGGCCCAGTGGCTCATGTGCACTATAAAGAACCCAGTACATCTTTCGAGATGCGTAGGGGGTTACCCCGGTGTACTGGTTCATACAGCCCCTGTTGTGGACAGACAAGAAATAGCTGGTACCAGTTTACCGGGTAGCACAGACACAAAGAGACACTTAGGGAGAAGAAAGTTACTGTGCGAACAAGTCCACACCTTGAAGGCTTTGAGACTTCAGAATATAGTGCTATATAAATCCAACCACACACATATAAATAGATTGAATGCGTGTAAGTTATTGCGGTTTTTTTTTTCCCCTGTAGATTTCAAACCAACATTGAACATGTGCAATATGATTGCTTACCTCGTTGGTCAGCTCCAAGTAAACACCAAAGGAGATGGTTTTTGCAACGTACCCCAATTCTTGAGAGAACCTCTCAAGAACGTGGTAATCGGCTTAGCACGATGCCCCCTGGTAAGCAGCTTTGCACAGACACCTCCTCTTGTGTGGAAGATGGGCTGGGTACCAAGCCAGCTACAGAGGGGCGACACCAAACTGCCGGCATTACCTGCCGAGTACCTTCACGAGAAGGATGTACTTCGGGAATTCATTTTTCGAGTGAACTCGATTGGTTGGACTACACGGCAGGAGTTTGAAGAGACGTGGGCTGGTCTTCTAGGTGTGCTCAGTCGGCCAGACATGGTGGAAGAAATTGCTACAGAAGTAAGTGTCAGGGCCACCATTAATTCTCATTAATTTTAATAAAAATTTATCAAAAAATAAAACTAAAATGTGACACTTAAATGTCATAGAGGTGACAGTGGTAATGGTAAGACATTAAATATTTAGTTTCTATTTTATTGAGTAGAAGCTAGACCATGGCATATTCAAGGATATCAAAATGGGAGGGCTGGAAGTGGGGGAGCTCGATGATAATGTGAGGGGGCACCAGCTGGCAAAATAGGCTGGTATGAGGCGATTTTTAACTACTAATACTTGGACAGGATGCAAGACTTTTTTGAGGCTCCAATGCAGTTAAAGGAGGTCCATTTTGGGCTTTCTAAAAATCTAAATGGGATTAATGAACAAAATCAACATCAACTATATTTGTAATTTACATTTCCAGGAAGAAATTGAGCGCAATCAAGGTGCATGCCTAGCTGTCAAGAACATAACAGCACTCCTCACAAATAGTTTACGGCGCCCTCAACCTGGAAACCCTGCCAACAGTACGCACAGACACATTCCACGCAATGCTGAGCTCAAACTCTTCTCAACCTCTCGTGGAAAGAAGCTGCTCATCCTCCGGAACATCATAGAGCAGGAGGTTAAGATGATGAAAACTGTTGAAGGCGGTTTGAAAAATGGTCTTCGTGGTGAGCGTAGCAATGACCCCAGTGACCT